AAGGGGCGGGCGGGGAGGGTGGAGCAGGAGCCAATCAGAGCGCCAGCGTGGTGGGAAGCGGGCCAATAGGGAGCAGCGGCGGTTTTAAAGGCTGTTACGGGGAGGGAGGTTTGAATCTAAACAGCGTTCGCGGTGCGGTGTGGGGCGGCGGTGGTGAGGGCCGATGGTGGTGGGGGGGCATTGGGAGGGCTCCTGGGATCGCTGCGCGCGCGCGCGTGTGTGTGTGTGTGTGTGTGTGTGGGGGGTGCAGATGGTCCTGGAGAGAGGAGGAGGGCAGGGAAATATGGTCCTGGAGTGGGGGTGGAGGGGTAGATGGGCCTGGAGAACGGAGGGGGCCAGGGGTCCTGGGGAGGGGCAGATGGGCCTGGAGAGGGGAGGGGCAGATGGACCTGCTGGAGAGGTTGATCTGAGCCTCCAGGCCAGGTTGGTTTGTATTTGAACTCTCTCTTTTTTCAGGCAGCATGGACAGAACCCGGAAAGAGAACCGCCCCGGCCTGCCCGCACATAGTGCCAAGGTAAAAGGCCTTGTTCTTTGCTCCACCAGTTCATCCCGGTCCTTGTTTGCGATAACCCCTTCTGGTCATCTCGACAGAAGGTCCCCCTGCCTTCTCCAAGTGGTTCACCCTGCCTGTGTATGAGGTCGGGCAGCATAATGTACGTAACGCGTAGCAGAGGCATTAATAGCTCTGTTATGGAGGCCTATCTTGTTCTTAAACCAGTCTGAGAATGTGGTACTGTCCCCACTTCAGATCGATTTAAGTTTTTACCTTCTATGGGTAGACTAATGGGGAGAAATGCAGCTAAATTTGGTTGTGCGAGGGTGGAAAATGAACTACGTGAGTTACAGTACAATAATTAGTGCTTCTGCCTTGTCTTGTGTGTCTGTTTAGATTCCAGCCCACGTTGGGGATGGCCCAAAACGAGTCCCCGTCTCTCAGCTTCCTCAGAGTCGAGTCCCTGGAGGCGCAGCCCAAGCACAACGTGTCTTGTGTCCTTCAAACTTGGCTCAGCGAGTTCCTGTACCATCACAAGCTCCAAAGACTGCAGCGTCTAATCAGAAACTATCTCATAACCAGCGGATGCAGCAGCCTCAGCCAACATGTGTAGTTCAATCATCTTCTAGGCCTCAGGCTCCAAATAATAATGAAAAGCCTCATCATGTCCCAGTATCTGGTAAATAGATTCATTTACACATCTATCTCATCTTGACATGACACCCAGGAGACTTTCAAAGATTGATCATTAAACTGGTTGACTGCAGCAAATTAACAGACCTGACACTTATTTTCTATAGATGAGGCTTGTGTAACTTATCTTACATCCTGACTTTCTTCTATATAAGAGGATCACATTCACATAGGAAGATGGTTGAAATGGGTAGTGTGAACCTACGCAGAATTATTTCTGGATTAATAACATTGGCCAACTACCAGGCTGCTACCTGCTTGTCCACATAACAGAATAGTGACTAAAATTTAACAGCCACAGGTGGTAAGGTACCTTGCTGATAGCTATAATATTATAATAATAGAAGTATCATTCTACCCAAAACTCGGAATCTAGAAAAAGCATGGTAAAAGCTGGCAGTTGTGTTTTGTGGGTTTGCTTAATTAATGTGTTGAAACTCTGTTTGTATGCAGCAAACCAGCCTGAAAAAGAAGGTACTTCTAAACCGAAAAATCAAGAGACTAAAAAGTAAGTTGCATTCCTAGTATTTTTGTGTGTTAAGTGGGAACCTAGACCCAGAAGTCTAAAACGCTTGTCAGTGATATCAGCTGGGTTAGAATTTCACTCTTGGCATTTAAGGATAAATAATGTAGAAAAAGTGTTTTGCAGTTTAAATATATTGGATTTTGAGGCCAGATCTTGATCTTAGTTAAATTGATACAAATCTTAACCCAGAATAACTCCATGGACATTTTTTTTTTTTTTTTTTTTTTTTAAATAAAAAAAAAAAAAAAGCGTTCCAGGCCTTTTGTATTCTAGCAGTTTAACTATATTTCTTTTTTCCTCTCTTAGGAGGCAGTGGTCTCTTGATGACTTTGAAATCGGCCGTCCTCTGGGAAAAGGGAAGTTTGGAAATGTATATTTGGCTCGTGAAAAACAAAGCAAATTTATTCTGGCACTGAAGGTGCTGTTTAAATCTCAGCTGGAGGAAGCTGGAGTAGAGCATCAGCTGAGGAGAGAAGTAGAAATACAGTCTCATCTTAGGTAAAAAACAAACCAACAACCCCTCCCCCCCACCCCAACTTATTAGAACTGTAGTTAAAGATATGTTGTTTCAAGCAAGATAAGCAGCTGAACTTATTGCCTCCTGAATTCTATCACCTTAACACAAAGTTTGAACTCATCTACATATAACAGAAGTCTTTATGCTTTTATATTCTGCCATGGCAATCCCTTAAAACTGCATCTATTTTTAAGTTACAGTGGACTTTACACAAAACATGTTTAAGGAAGTAATTTGAAAGAACTACGGTTTGAGGGGAAGTCTTTATATCCTGTTGTATAAAGGATACAACAGAGAGGATGCAACTCCAACTTTCTTTTAAACTAACCTTACTGGATTCTGGATTCTGACTTGCTAGGCAAAGTGACAGTGTGAGATAATGGCTGGCATAATGCAGTGAATTATTTTGTACTTGAAAATGCTTCAATTCTATACATGCTGAGGAAGAGCAGACTTTCTCATTGGCAATATTTCCAAATGGCATCTCTCCTATTGAATAAACCTGGATATAAAGGAGAACACCAATTTCAAAAATGAAAAGTATCTTTAGCAATAACATCCTAAGACCCTCTACAACCCCCAGCATGCATGCCAGAGTATGGCATGCGAGGCCATTTTGCTTGGTACATCACAGCTGGCCCCAGGCTCTGGGCAGCTGCCATGGGCCACTTGAAGCAGACAGCTGGGAAGCTGCAAGCCATGTTGCAAGCACCTTGGGCTCCACGGCTGGTAGCAGCTGCCTGAAACCCAAGCTGGCTGTGGCAGGCAGCTGGGGGGTGAGGCTTTAGACAGCTCCATAAGGCTCCAGAGCTCTTGGCTGCTCGTGTGCCTCTGGGCAGATGGCAGGAGAGGGGCTGGGGTTGTGCTGCCCCAGACCCCTCCCCCACCATCTGCCCAGAGGCACGCATGCAGCTGCTGTCGGCAGAGGATCGGCTCTCCTGTGGTCTGTTCCTGGCATGCCAAGTTGAGGTGTGGGGTCCGGGTTGGGGTGTTTTTGCCACTCCAGCCAAAAATGATGTCAACCCCTGCTGTACAGCTTGGAGGGTGGGTAGGGGTCCCACCTTCTTGAAGTGTGGGGAACCCCCTGTCCCCCCAAGAAAATAACAACACACCCACACACCCTAGAGAAAATATTGAAGCTGGCTAGGCAAAAATGCACTTAAATGTCTCATTGGAGAATTTTAAAGAATCTTTAAAGGTAACAGGTAAAACCTCTTTATTTAGATGAGTGTGTTGTAAGCTGATGTCTTGTGTAAGCTTGAGGCCTGGGTGGGGGATATGGAATGACAAATGCATTCAATTTCATCAGCCCTTTATATTAAAGCTAGCTTGTACCTACATGGTATCAATTGTTGCTGACTCAAGTCAACATTGGAGAAGGTGGAAACTCAATGAAGTGTTAACATGCATAGCCTGTGTATGGATGCAAAAGCTTTCCTTCTGTTAATATTTTTTTGTTTTGAAAAGACATTCAAACTTTCTTGCAGACATCCCAACATTCTCAGACTGTATGGGTATTTTCATGATGCCACAAGAGTATACCTTATTCTAGAGTATGCACCTCGTGGAGAAGTCTACAAAGAGCTACAGAAGCTTACGAAGTTTGATGAGCAAAGAACTGCTAATGTAAGTTGCTCTAGTTTGCATGTATACACACTCATTTTCTAAACCCTTTTAATTTTTTTCTTTCTTAAACGTATTCTGCAAATATATCCAATAATTGAAATATTAAGTTTGATCTTGAAACCAAATTTTTGTCAGCATGCCCCTGCTGAAGTAAACTGATATTTTTTATTTTGGATTTATATCCAAAACTTGGAGCTCTGGGAGGCTTGTCAGTTTGCATAATGACATACCTTTCATTGCTTCTTGGTACTTTAAAGTGTCTGCTGTAGAGATGCAACAACCTCCTCCTGCTTCAAATGACAGTACCAAATAACAGGAGCTTAAGATGACAAAATGACTTGGTCAGAAATTAGCACTGTAAGATTAGATGTAATACCTAGGAAATGCTTTATAGAAGCTATCTGATTCTTCAAAAATCATCCTGAAGGAGCTGCTACCACTAATTTACTTTCTTATTTATTTAAACAGTACATCACAGAGTTAGCAGATGCTCTATCATACTGTCATTCAAAACGTGTGATTCATAGAGATATCAAACCAGAAAACTTGCTTCTTGGCTCAAATGGAGAGCTGAAGATGGCAGATTTTGGATGGTCTGTGCATGCTCCATCATCTAGGTAAGAATTTGCATACCTCTCACCTAATCTTATGATGAAGTACAAAATTTCTGTGGTTCTGAATTAAGGAACCAGTATTGTTTATTTACTACTGTTACAATTCTTTTCATGGGAGAATCTAACTTGACTGGAAATATGCAAGGACCACCAAATTGGCTGCTTACTTAGTGGACCCAACTACTGGCCCAACTATTTTTTAAGTCCTTGAGTCCTGGAGTGAGCTTCTGATGCATCATAAGCAGGCATCCTGGTTTTCCCCCATATAAATAAATAAATGCATGAATGCAAATTCTCTGATTAAAAATCACAAATTCTGATTAGAAACACCAAAATCTGTGATTTAAAGTTAAAGCCCTCCCACAGCTCCCCCCGGCCCTGTTTGTGCCTCTTGCACTCTTTTCCCCTCCCCCCACCAGCGTTGCAGGGGCCCCCAGCTGCCAGGGCTACAGGGCCAGGGATCTGGGTCCACAGTCCCCTGCCCCTGTTAAGAGGTGGTGGCTGCTACAATGGAGCACAGCCCAGCTGTCCCCTGGCTGCTTTTCCCCCCCCCTCCAGGTGCCGGGTGCAGGCTTGGGTTGGGAGTGGGGCTGACTCCCTGCCATGGGGTGTGCTCCCTGGGGGGGCAGAGCCCCCCCCCCCCAATCTATGCACAGGGCAGGGTTGGGGGTAAGCATCAGCTGTGGGCTCACATTCCCACCCTACTGCCGTTTCCCAGGGCCTGTGCACCCCAGTGGGCGCATCCCAGAGTGGCAGGGAACAGCAGAGCTGAGCAGAGAAGCTGCCTGCCACTGGGTGCTCTGTGCTGCCCTGGTGACGTGCAACTGCAGTGAGGGCAGCGGGGGGTGGGGGTTGTGCCCCTCAAAGCTGCCGTGCAGGTAGAGGGCACATCACCGGGCCAGCGTGGAGAAAGCTGCCTGCATGAGCATGCTCTGCCCTGCCGCGCTGGGTTGTGCCCACTGGGCTGCTGGGACCCTGGGGGAGGGCAGCAGGGTGGGAGCCCACCCCTGCCCTCTGCACAGATCTGGGGATCGCAGGTCCCCACTGCCCTCTTGGAATGTGCGTTGTGGCAGGGAGATGGCCCCACCCCTCCGCCCCCCAGATGAGCCACACATGGCCTGTCCCACTCCCCGCTGGGGCTCTGCAGCTGTGCATTCCAGCCCCAGGCCCCAAAACCCATGCGCTACTCAGCCCTGCCCAACTGCCTCCATCCCACCGTATGGGGAGGCCTCAATTCTCCACACCCTCCCTGCCCTTCCCCTACTCACCTATGGGAGCTGCTCTTCAGGCTGTCTGGGGCCATGCACATGGCACCCCCTGCCTGACCACCCTCTTTCTGCTCCCTCCTGGCCCCCTGCAGGCTGGAACTCAGGCTGGAGCTCACTGCGAAACTGCAAAATCTGGGCTTCTCTGCTAAAATGGGAAATCTGTGTTTCCCTTCAGTAAGATGGGAAAATCCACGTTTTGTTTTTCTGTGGGGAAACGGAAAACCCAGATTCCTGATCATAAACCATGAGTGACACCTTGCTGGATGGCAACACTACAGAGAAGGATCTAGGAACTAGATCACAGATACAGTATGAGTCTGCAATGTGGTGCAGCTGCACAGAGAATGCAGTTTTTGTATGCATCAATAGAATAATTGGGCACAAGACACGGGCATTAATAGTGCTTCTTTATGCAGTACTGGTTAGGCCTCATCTAGACTATTGTGTGCAGTTTTGAGGTCTACATTGTAAACAAGGATATGGAGAAGTTGGTGAGGTCCAGAGGTAAGCAACAGAAACACTGGGTGTTGGCTGCAGCCAAGGCTGGGGATGTCAACCTACAAGTTCCTGGTTGGAGGGGCAAACTCAGGTTCAGACCAATTGCCATATTTGGGGTCAGGAAGGAATTTTGCCACGCTGTCCGATTGGTACAAGCAGTAGAGGCTTCTTCTCTAGCAGGGGGTGTGGCCCTCTTCCTTGGATCTCTCATGCAAATCTTAACCCTTGCTACAGCAGGATGTTGACCCCCTGCTTTACCTGTGACAGGTTAGGGTACTGTCTTGTGGTTGTGTTGACTGTAGTTTGTCTAATAGGTTAGACAATAAGTTTGCATAGGGTGGTTTGGATAGAGATGATCCTGCTTCAGGCAGGGGGTTGGACTTAGATGTGACTTTCCAGCCCTGCTTTTGTATTATTCTAAGAAAGCACTTCTTTATGATTTTTAGATTTTTCTGTTGAAGCTGTGGCATTCTACAAGAGAGAATTCCGGTTCATTAGGCCAGAGTACAAGATTGCACATGGCTTAAATTTTTCATGGAATAATTTTAAAATATTGCTGTAGCAGAAAAGTTTACCATGCTCACCAGAAAGGTGGGAGACCACTGTTCCACTTAGTGGTAGGAAACCCACTGAAATACTTCCTTCCCACCAAGTGTCTCCTAGAAAATATGGGTTTGAGTTCTCCCATCTGAGGAACCTAACCCAGGATTTCCGTATGATGAGCAAGAGTTCCAACATCTCAGCAATGGGGGACCAACACTATTCTGCTACCCCGAGTAAAGTATCTAGGCCCCACCTCTTTGGATTTCGTCTCCCCATCCTGTTGCTCTCTAAACAGGATCCTGAGCAGGAGTTGTTTATAGAGGCATCTAACTCCCCATGCATTGTATCGGAAGCCTCTCTGCCCAAGTCAGGGCTGTGAATTGTGCTATAATTCATAAGTCCTTTTTATATTTTCCTGAAACTTGCTCACAGGAAGTCACTTTCACGGTAAGGGTCTAAAATTAACCTTAGGAAGCTCTTTCATTCCTAAGCAAAACTGGACATGGGTAGAAGCTGATGCTAACAAACAACTTGCAGTAGTCTTTAGAAGCTGACAGCACTGCCCCACAAAGACCAAACTACAGACATTCTGAAATCATTGTTTTCATTTTTAGGAGGACCACTCTTTGTGGAACACTTGACTACTTGCCTCCTGAGATGATTGAAGGAAGAACACATGATGAAAAGGTGGATATCTGGAGCCTGGGGGTTCTGTGCTATGAGTTCCTTGTGGGAAAACCTCCTTTTGAGGCAGAGACATATCAGGAAACTTACCGATGTATTTCAAAGGTAAGCAGTAAATAACCTCTTCCTACTTATCTTGCTTTCATGAACTAGACTGACTTCATGCTTTTTAAAACTTTTTTTTTTCCAAGCATCTCTGCCTACTTAACAGGATAGTTGCTTTGTCTGTAGTAACGTTTCTCTCTCTTGGAGAGGAGCCTGCAGTCTTTTAGTTGAGGTGAGGGGGGGAGGGGGTGCGGCCTCCTGTATGTAGTAACTACAATCCATAGCTACACTGTCAGTGGGACATTTAGTTGTATATTTTCTGCCTTCAGTGACCCTCTGAGGCAGATGGGGTATGTAGTCATACTTTTAGGATTGTCACTATTTGCCTTATTTCATCTGGCACTTAGTATTTTTTAAGTCTGGCTTACCACTGAAAATTAACATTTTTTTCTTCCCCCTCAGGTTGAATTCAGATATCCTCCCTTTTTATCAGAAGGAGCTAAAGATCTAATTTCAAAGCTTCTAAAACATAATCCATACCACAGACTACCACTTAAAGATGTTCTTGAACATCCATGGATTAGGGAGAACTCTACAAAATCACCTGCTAGCAGAGTGAGTGAGGCTGCGGGCAGTCAAAAGAGCGAAGCTAACAACAAAACGTAGTCTTGGCCAGGTGGCTATCCTCCTTTTGTAAAAGGATTGAACAAAATGAGAGCCTTGTAACTGTGCTCATCATGCAACCAAGTCCAGGTCACGGCTTAATGAACAGTGCAATAACACATCCCAGAGATGCCTGTGGTCTTTGTTTTTTAATTTATTGGGCTGCTATTGGCATCTGAAATGTGCAGTGATCCGAAGCTGAATGAAACATGAACACACTTCCTAGCAATTGTCATAACAATTATGTTTGAATTTCTTTTTTCTTTTTCTTGTTTTTAACTGTCAGTCCTGTTACTGTGGTGAGGTAATCGAAATTTTAAATAAATAAACTCTGGTTACATGCTGGTAGCAGTTCTTTTGTGTGGGTGCATGTGTGTGTGAAAGGGGATGGGGTGTTCAAATTATTCTGCACCAGTGAAGATGCAACAACTAGTTAAAGCTAGCAGCTAAAGTTCAACCCCTTCTATATTTGAACATGTTGAGGCAACTTAAAGCAGTTGCTTTGCTTTCACTACTCTTTAAACTGCATTTAAAACAGTGTCTTGTGCAATGAAGACAAAACTTTAGGCTGTAGCCCGTGGGTCAAGTAACAGTACAGGCAATATACTTTGTTCCTGTTGATTTTATTTTTAAAGCTTCCTAAATACCTGTGCCTACACCCTGGGTTTGAGGGGTCCTTTGGGCAACATGTTTCTTACAGATCACAGGTAGGGAATCATACCTTGGCTATCCAGGGGTCAAAACAGAGCAGCACATGTGGGGACAGTGCACTGCTGCTCAAAACTGGAACTGTTTCCATAGCTATGCTAGAGTTGCCAGCCAGGCTTTAAGTGGCAGGATCACTGCTGCTGCAGCTCAGGAGGCCCCCAGGTAAGGCTGCTGGCCCCAGCCTCCCCTACCCAACCAAGGATAACTTGCCATGTGCCATGGGAGGAGGGTGCATAGCACAATCATTACCCGGGGCCAACTAATGGCATAAGTTGTCTTGCTGCTAGCTGTCCTTGTGGAACCGAAAGCCAACACTTGTGTGGAGGTGGCCACTGTGTCCAAAAAACCTTTTAGTAAGCACTTCAGATGCAGGATGTGATAGGAATAATTTAGGTAAACTAACAGTGATGGTCTAGGGTCAGACCCCAGCTGTGCCGTCATCAACTTTAATGAAGCCTTATGCAGGCACTAGTATCTGCTACAATTCTATCTATAGTGTCAGCTTTCACTTTTCTAAATAGTGGAAGTTCACTGTTAAACTACTGCTGTATGGCTTACAATGGAATTTCTTGAATGTAAGAGTATTAATTTGAGACATTTGATTTCTGAAAGTGTTAAGTGAAGAGTTTTTATTCTTATTTAAAAAACTTTCTACTGGAAAATACCAAAGAAACTACCAGGAAAACCCCCTAAACCATTTATTATATTTCTTCTAAAATTGGTATTAAAAAGCCTATTTTAATTATTGTTATGCTTACAGGTGAAGATGCATTTTTGAACACATAGTCAAGCTAATTCAAAATATACTTTGTAAAACATTCATCTAGGTAGACTGAACATTTTATACAATCCACTATATGATTATGAGGTAAAATTATTTCCTTCTGAGCAAAAAGGGGAACAAAGTCAGTTTAATTACACTTGGAAAAATAACTTTACATTTAAAGTATAGTCATACAATGTCTTTTCTGTTGCTGACTTTTCAGATGGACACTTTTTTTCTAAAGCAACCACTAAATCATGACTGCTTTTATAGGAAGTAACTTTGATAGAGACTTGAATGTCATTTGCTTTCTTATTAGTGGTAATACACAACATACTGAATCAGAAGCAACAGTTTAGTCCATCATGACCATCTTCATCTGAGATGCTAGAGAGGTGGGTGTCTTAACACTCAGGAGTGTGGAACACCCTCAATCAAGTACCCAGACAAAATCATTTTCTTAAAAATTATGCCAGAAAAAAGGTTTTTTCCCTTTTAATTGAACCAACTACTGGATTTCTCTCAAAATACAGTCACCCCTACAACTGCAATGGTTATAAATTTCACCTCTTCCAGTATCAGCAAGTAAAAACTTCTGTTCAAAAGTTAAAGCAGCCAAATAATTAAAATGCTTGTGATAATGACAAAATTAGCCTACTATCCAAAACAATTTTTCCAACTATTTAGTTAGTCTAATAAAAGAAATCACATCTACCCAAAGAACCTTGTCTGCCTATGTCCTTAGAGGAACATGCCTACAACCAACACACCTACTGTCCAGTTATACTCCAGTTTACACATCTGTGCTTGGGTACAAGGTGTTTCTTTAGGGCCATTCACAAGTTACTTATACCAGAGGTTACGATAGAGAGAAAGTTAGCACCAAGAGGCAGCTTCTCCCCACTCCACACAGTTGTACAGGCTTCCAATCCCTAGGAACCAGCCAAGCAAGCAAGGAGCATAACAACGCTTCACATACATCAGATAAGGGAGAAGCAGGTACCATACTGCAATCGTCACAGGGTAGCTCCTTCCTTACCGCTAGAGTAGTGCAACTACATGCTCTCTCCCAAGGTTCCCTAAGTATATGTGGTAGAACAGCTTATTCAAAACCCATTCTTAGGGTTTGTGGGTGCTGTCTGGCTGTATGATAGGAACATTATCATACAGAAAATGATTTTTAAGCGGCATTTCTAACCCATTATAAATGGAAATATATATTTATAGACTATTAATTTGTAGTGCTCTCTCATTGGGGCAAGGGGCACTACTGGTTTTACTAAACTGCTGAAGAACATCCAGATAAAGCAATTGGGAGGGGTGGAGGGAGTCAATTATTAGATTTAGTAGGAAAAAAAGATCTATATTTGGTGCCTAAGTTGCTCCTAAATGTTCATTTGGGACAAATGCCACCGATTTCACAAAAATGCTTCCTAGTGTGGAAATGTCACTATTTGATCACTTTGGAATTTAAGGATCTGAACTAAACATTTATTTATTTAATATTCAAGTTGTTAATATGGCATTAGATGTCATGGAGATCTAGAAATTGTGGCTTGATGAACTTATAGCCATTGTAATTTTTGTACAGAATCACATTGACCTGTAAGAACAGTAAACAGTAAGCCAGATGGACAATTGAAATATTAACAGTTAAACTGAGTTTTTATGAGTTCATTAGAAGTGAGCAATGAAGTATTAAAGGGCATTTCCACAGCAAGTATTTATGATAGTTTAATATAAGAACCAAGTGACTAGCAGATGCATTCACCAGGCAGTCACATTTTTAATGCATAGACTTAGGAAATGTATCTGAGGTTCCTTTCTTTGGGACCTACTGCTAATTTTCAGTTGTGCGTATGTCATTTCCTACAGAGCCTGAGCCTAGCACAAAGCACAAAGGAAGTCTGTCACCAGTTTCAATGGACACTGGAAGATGAGAGACACACAAAGTTATAGTCTGAAGTCAAGCAGAAGGCAGGATGGGTGCAAATCTACTATGGCTTTTACTGAATGATGCCCATACAGGATCAAATAGTGGTTCCAGGACTTCAGTGGACTCCGGGCTCCTCTCCCCAGAGTCTATGGAGCTCTAGAATGAAGGGAAAGATTTCTTTAAGGCCAATTGTTAATCAACAAGAGCAACAAAATTAACTGATGCTCAGAGTCCATGCTCAGATCAGAAACATGGGAGTACAGCACAAGTCAATGGTCTTTTTAGAATGAATCAATATATTAAAATAAGAAAAGTTCCAAATATACAAACTGGGTTCCTAATATTTATATTTTTCAAAAGGGGAACTGACATGGTAGTTTAGTATCTCCTTCAGGTAATAGCAAAGGAGAGGGAAACATGATGATAATTATAACAATAAGAAAAAAAATCAATCTTCATTTAGTCCCTCATATACATTATATATAAATAGTGAACTGTAGCAACTGCATTTCACCCAGAGAAGAGTAAGGCCTAAAGGGTGAGCTGTAAGAATACTGAAATATATATTCTGAGTCTGCTGTAAACAGCTCGTTCATTGTCAAGCACTTATTCTTAGCAGGAGTTTCCAGATACCATTTTACCAGAGTTCTCAATGGAGAGGTAAGGAAGGGGATGAAACATGGATGTCAACATTTTCCAGAAAAGACAAAGCCAAGGTCAGTATGAACCTGGGTACAAAGAGGTTTTTTTCAGTAGCACAGCAATTTTAAAAGCTACGTGAGTATGAAGCATTTCTAACATCAGGATAGCATCATGGGGATGGAGGCTTGAAGAAGCCAATTTTTCGGCAATACTGGACAATAAATGGTACAGAAACTAAGGTAATGCTGATCCGAACTGGAGCAAACAATTTGTGAACAGCGTAGGCCAGCACAAATGTGCTTGCACCAGCAGCCAGTTTGGATTGCACCACTGCTTCACTGAATCCAAGTTTGTAGAGAATTGCAGTCATATCCACGCCACTGGGGAAAGGAAAAAAAAAAAAAAAAAAAAAGGATTATTTTTAATAGATAAAAAGCAGTTGTGCCATTTTCCTCAGGTTTAAAAAAAAAATAGTTCACTATTTGCATCCTCTCATAGATTTGTACATTATCTGTACAATACATTATACATTATCTGTATAATAACAGTGTTAACATTCATGGGATCATTTTTTAAAACTCGGTTACACTGCATGCCCAATTCTGATCTTGCACTATGGATACATTTTAAATGGAGCAATGTAAATGTGGGTTGGCCCTTACTCATCAACACTTGGCCCTGAAATCTTTTTCCAGACCTAGAAGGAATATTTGACATTTTCCTTTTCTGTTTAAATCATAAAACCCTAAGGCACTGCCCCTTGTCCTGCCCTTAATGACATGGGACAAGAGGCAATGTGAATTTCACCCAGAGCAGTAGATAGACTGTGTCATGACATCGCAGCACAGCTGATCTGCTTCATTCATTGACATCCGTTTCTAAATGGTGAAAGGTCCATGTAACATATAACAGATACTAACTATTCACTAAATACATAATGCAGTATTTTTTCTGTAAACCCATAACAGCCTTTGGTTACACTTGAAAAAAGAGCAGTTAAATTATTTCAAGTAAGTGAATGCACTGTCCTTTTTAAAGTTAATGTAAAAAGTCAAATACTCTCTCCCTTACCCCCACTTCAGAAGTAAATAGCCCTAGCTTCAGCCCCATACTCAGATCCTCCTGTGCACCTGGATAGAGGGAAGGTATTTAATGAATGCACATCCTCATTTTTCCTGTTGTTAGAGATTAGCCTCAGATACTTAGCTGCTCCATACATGCAATTCCAGCTGGAGTCCATGAGACTTTTGTATATGGAACAGACACAACATTAGACCCCAAGCCAGTTC